TGCACAGTATCCACGGGAGGCACCCTTTAAATCCTGCGATGACGATCTTGGTACGGAAAATAGGGATTGCCCGCGGGCGATAGAAGGCAAATACGCGTATCAAGCGAAGAGCTTGGGGCGTAAGGGTGGGGGGGATGGCCAGATGGCCACGGCAATGCCTGTGGCGGAGGGAGGCGCAGCCTAACCAGGATGACGCCTCTAGGACGCCGAAGGGGTCTGTCTAAGCTTCACAGGATGGGGCCTCGGTCGATCGTAGTATGTAACGAGTACGAGTTATTGGGGTTGTTGGCTTTTTGACGGCCCGTTTCCTGGAACCCTGCGCGTGCCGGGAAAGAGCACAAGGAGATTCTTAGATCAAGGAACCCCAAGGGCCGAATTCGTCACATCATTCCAAACAGAACTGTGCAGGATTCCCCCAACCTTCATTCTCTTTTCTCGTTCATCCTCCAAAGCAGCCGACTCGAGCCTTGAGAGCTGCCGTATGTCGTCCCTCCTTCCATCGCTTGCAGCTACTCCCCGCGTCCTCCGATTCCCGTTGAACCTGGCTACCCACCAGGCTGTCAGACATGGCTGCTGCCGTTCAGCCAGGTGCGCCCATGAATGGTGCCATGGGCGCTCGAGCACCCAATGTCCCCCAAGATAATGGGCAGCCTCTCCCTCCGATTCCTGCGGCGGAGGGTGCTGGATCAGATGTGGACCCTGCGTCCCGAGAAAGAGTGCAACAGGTTCTCTCTTCAGATGTAAGCGCGAGTCAAGAGTTTCCGTTGTGGCTTGCGGTTGACCAACCCCTCCAGATCGGACTGAGCACGTTATTGAACCGATTGAAACAAAGCATCAGCTCTACTAAAGTACCGTCTCCCTAACCGTCGACACTCCATGCGGCTTTGCTGACCGTGGTGTTAGGACTTTGCGGCGTTCCTGAAAGAAAGATCAATTTTGGAGGACAAACATGCGCAGGGCCTGAAGAGACTGAGCCGGAACACGTCCGAGTCGATAGGAAGACCAGATAGCAGACAAGGGACGTTTGCTCAGAATTTCAAGGAAATGACCAGCATTCATGAGCGAATGGCAGACCATGCCTTACAATATGTCGCGACGCTATATGGCATGTCGGAGGAACTGCACGAGCTGGCATCCAATTCCGAAAGAGCGCGGAAACACTGGAAGCAGACAGGCATGAATGCTGAAAAACGGGTGGCCGACGCAGAAGCTGCCATGGAGAAGGCCAAACACCGATACAACTCGCTGGCAGAGCAGTACGACCGCGCCAGAACCGGGGAACGGCAGTCTGGCAAGTTCGGTCTCAAGCGATCCGCTGCTCAGCTGGAAGAAGAGTTGCGACACAAACTCGAAGCTGCCGACGCTGATTATTCCGCCAAAGTTGAAGCCGCATCGAGTCAGCGAAATGAGTTACTCAGCACTCTGAGACCGCAAACGACCAATGCCCTCTCGGAACTCATCAGGGAGACTGACGCGGGCCTGAGTCTGCATGTGCAGAAATTCGCTGACCTCAGTGAGAAGCTGCTGGTGGGATTCGGACTATGCATTGCGCCCGTCAAAGGGCCATCGCCAATCCCGGGTCAAGGCACCAAGAGTCTACGCGAGTTGGCTTCAGGAGTCAATAATGAGAAAGACTTGATCGATTTCGTCCTTGGATTTAGCAACCAGGTTCCGATGAGACCAAACGACATCAGATTCGAACAACATCCCTCGCTCTCGCCAAAACAACAGCAGCCTGGATTTACCGATCAATACTCCAACGAAGATCCCTATGCCCCTGGCCACGGAAGGCAAGTTTCAGGAGTCACTCCATACCCAGGCGAGGAGTATTACGATGATGGCTCTCAGTCGCAATACCATCCGCCAAGTCTGGTACCTGGACAAGCGGCCCCACAGCAACGGCCACAGATGGGAGCGCCCCCAGGTGCTCAAGGTGCTGTTCAAAGACCACCTGGTCCGCAACAGCCTCCCCAGAATCCTGCCGCCGGCAATCAGCCACCTGGAGCCGTGGCCCAGACTGTAACCGTCGTCGCAAGCCAAGCTCCTGGTGTAGGACCCGGTCATGTCCGGACCGTGTCCCAAGGGCAACCTCCTGGTCAGCAACAGGCTCCAGGAACTCAGCAGAACGGCCAACCCGGCCAAATGGGCCCTCAAGGTCAAGGCAGCCCACCCCAGCAAGGGATGGGTCGTGGACAGCCACCACAAGGTCGAGGACAACCGCCGCAAGGCATGGGCCGAGGACAACCGCCACAAGGCATGGGTCGTGGGCAAGCACCACCGGGCGCAGTAGGACGGGGACAACCACCCCAGGCCGGAGCCAATACAGGCCAAGCACCACCAGGCGCAGTAGGACGGGGCCAACCACCTCAGGCTGGAGCCAACCCAGGTCAGGCACCACCAGGCGCAATAGGCAGAGGACAACCGCCCCAAGGCGCACCTGGCCCTGGTCAACCAGCGCCAGGTCCAGTAGGAAGAGGCCAGGCGCCGCCAAACGGTGCCGGTCGAGGTCAGCCACCACAAGGTGCTATGGGACGTGGGCAGCCTCCTCCGAATGGAATGGGTCGAGGAGCACCTCCGGGAGCTGTCGGTCGCGGTCAACCACCACAGGGTCGAGGCCAGCCTCCACAAAATGGTCCTCAAGGAGCCGGTCGTGGAGCCCCTGGGCCAGGACCTCAGAACGGCGCACCTCGTCCAGCTCCTCCTGGTGGCGCGAACACACTTCCCTCCAGAGTTCAGGCGGCTCCGAGGCCAGGGCCACCCATCCGACCAGTCTTCGGGGTATCCTTGGACGAGCTCTTCCAACGAGATGGATCCGCTGTACCGATGATTGTCATGCAATGCACTCAAGCCGTCGAGTTATTTGGATTAGAAGTCGAAGGCATCTACAGAACTTCTGGATCCACGAATTTCATTATGGAGTTACGACAGCAGTTCGATCATGGTAAGATCACTGACCTCGAGTATTAGAACACTAGCTAACCAACGTTTAGATGCCAACGCAGTCGATCTTCGCAACCCGGCGGCTTTCCACGATGATATTGCTGCCGTGACCACACTCCTCAAACAATTCCTTCGCGATCTGCCAGATCCATTACTCACGGCCGCACAGTACCGAGAGTTTATCCAAGCCGCAAGAATTGAAGACGAAATCGTGCGCAGAGATTCGGTCCATGCGCTTGTCAATGCTCTGCCTGACCCCAACTATGCCACTCTCCGAGTATTGACAATCCATCTGCACAAAGTTGCACAGCACAGCGCTAGGAACAAGATGACCAACAGTAACCTAGCCATCGTGTTCGCTCCCACATTGATGGGGCAGCAGGGCGGCGTGAATGGGAATATGTCTGGCGGCCCTGATATAGCCGACGCAGGATGGCAGGCGAAGGTCGTGGAGACCATTCTCAACAACACCTTCCAGATTTTTGACGATGACGAGCAGCCCGCGTAGTTGGATGGGTGGTGCATTATATGGACTTGTTCTCCGAGCGAGTGTTCACACAGCCATCTCTACCGAAATCAAGGGTTTGATGACGTGTCTGCAATTTGGGTTGAGAAAGAACAATCCAGTCTGAGAGGAAACGATGAGATACTGTTTCGGTGTTTGACGCCGAAGCTTGTCCATTGCTCACTTCCAACCTATAACGGGCAGAAACCACCACCTCTTCGCAGCTGATCGCTTCAAGCAACCTAGATTCCGAGACGAACTCAGGCCGACCTTTGTAGGCAGGCTACCGAAATGGTGGATCGTTTGTCAGCTGACATTGAAACATTTTACGGAGGTTATCAAGGCAGACTTCAGACTTCCCGTCTTCCATTGATCCTCACCTGCCCGAATCGAGCTCCGTACCTTTTTGAAGGTGGATTGTGGCCTTTGCGCACCGTCAGAAATCAAGAACTCCTGGAAGGTTAACAGGGAATATCTCTTCGGACGATAACCCTCAAGTCCCAACAAAGACGGGAGACGAAGATTGCTGCTTATTCTGGTGACTGCTTGAGGTCAAGGACTGGACAATGCTTCGGTGCGCAAAACAAGTGCAACATTACGAGTGATTGAGCCAGGAGAGACGACCACGGATGGATTTCATCACAACGGATTTTATCGTGGGAATATGGAGGTATGATTTATGAGGTTTGAGGTGTGTCCAGGATTCAAGACAGATAATACATAATCTTGTTGCTTGCTTACCACTCCTAAGTAGCGCAGTATCTGTATGGCCAAAAACTCACAGATCTTGTCAGAAATTCCACTCCAAGAAATTCCTGGAATGTCTCTTCTGACGCACTGCAAAAAAAAAAACCATTGGGTGGCAAAAAGAAGATACACTCCGCGTGGGACTCGAACACACAGCTAAGAGGAACATATTAGAATTTTTGATGAGGAAGCGCGGTGGTGGAGAGAATAGACGTACCCTCCAGATTTCAACAATAGAAGTCTGGCGCGCTACCATTGCGCCAGCGGAGCAATTGGCAGATAAATTTCAACCCGTTCTAGAGACGAATTTTCCCCCAAATTTGGGGTTTGTAGAATATATTCTTTGAACAAAGTGTGACGCTAATCCCCGATTCGATGTTAAGTTGCCGCTCTATTTGTCTGTCACGTGCGTGATGTCCAGGGCCAACCTCCTTTTGAACTTTCGATCTGGACGACGATCCCTTACGATAAGCGCCACTCCTTGCGCCCCTCAAGCGATAAGGCCCCTCCGATCCATGGAGTCAATGCAAAACACCTATCCGGCAGTTCGGACAGCCGGACATCTCCTCTCAGACGCCGACGGATGAGGCTTTGACCAAGTATTCGGCGTCGGAGGCGCGCCTTATCAAGTTGATGCCGTGAAGCCAAGAAGTCCTGGGACAGGATATCTTGGGGCGCTGTTCGTCGTTGGTATGGAGACATCAAGGAAGTGTTTGGGTCTCCTTGTATCTTCTGAGAGCCTTGAGGTCGGGAATTTCTTTTTGACTCGTGTTTATCCCCTCAAAAGACGACCCGGCCGCGCAGCACGATGATTGCCACCTTACAGAAAGACGAGGTTCAGGTTGTCACTCTGTCACCCGACGAACGGCGCAATGGCAAGTATGCACCAGCCACGCTGCAGCGAGCACTCGAGGCGATGCACCAAGACGGTCTGGTCGTACTCAAAGGCGTGATTGACCCGGCGCATATTGCAGCCGTGAATGAGAAAATGTGCGAGGACGCGGACCGAAAGAGAGCAGATCCGGACCAGTTGTATAATCACTGCGTCAAGTGTACGTACATGCCCTCCGGACTGAGAATCTGGAAGCTAGTCATTGACATGCAGGACGTCTTCATACAGCAAATTTCCTTCAACGCCCGCCCGTCAAGGACTCGTCATATCTCTTTGACGATGTCTACTTTAACCCGTTCCTCCTGCAACTTGCGAACGCGTCAGTCTGCTCTCCGGTCTTTGACTCTTGCTCCCCTCCGTGCCGGTCCTTCAGGCGACTGACTGCCTCAATCCAGCTACCTCGGCCATAAACCCATATGGAACTGGCTAACGTCGAACGTTGCGCTGTCGGATACATCGGGCATGCGCCAACCAGCGCACAAGGACTGCTCGTTCGCCCACCCACAGTATCCGTATTACTTCATCGCGAACATCCCGCTGTGCGACTTCACTGTTGAAAACGGTGCCACGGAATTCTGGCTCGGCTCGCACGCCCACGCCACTTCCCACGAGCAGATCATCGCCACCAAACCGGAGGAGGTTGTCGAGTACGGCCGCTTGGGCGAACCGCTTCCCGCCATCACGGAAGAGGCCAAGGAAGCACGTATGGCGATCCGGCCACCGCTGCAGCCAGAGTGCTCAGCAGGCGACATCATGATACGCGATCTTAGGTTGTGGCATGCCGGGATGCCAAATGGGACAGACAGGCATAGAATCATGATCGGCCTCGGGTATCAGGTTCGTAGCAGCAGGACGTTGGTGGTACATGGCTGGTCATTATCAACCGCTTGCTAACGTGGTATCACCGTTGAACAGAGCCCACACTACCCGAATTACACGATGCGATGCCATCTACCTTTGTCACAGCAAAACTTCTTCATGAAGGCAGGGGGTCACGACATGGTTGAGGTCCGGGCGAACTTCTACGAGGATGGGGACTTTGAGAAAGTGACAAAGGACACTCATTTTGAGTTGAGGCCTGATTACCTAGAGTGAAGCAGAGTGGTGGTCAGATTGATCGATACCATTTCTCTCGAATCCCTTCCTTGCATTGGTCAGGGAGCCCCCTTCCTCGGAAGTATTTCCTTGTGTTACGTGCATGTGCATGTTCTTCTCCCGCCTGTTTTAGATATCTCGAACTCTCTTCATTAGCCTCCCCCATCAGCGTGCCCGCGGTGGACGGTGAAGTTTCGTCAGAGAAAACTCCCCGTGCAGACAGACGGCCTAGGGTCTCACGAGCAAAGATGTCTGGTGTCAACTTTGCATATAAATCTGGAAACACACCGAATCCCGCGATATGGGTATATATCCGTAAAGTGTTCGAGACACTATTCACGAGACGTCAAGGGTATCTAAGAGCATCCCGTAGAATATAAGAGCATATATACGGTCCGTGGTCCATGTTTGGGCTATTTACCGGAGCGAATGGCTTTGGCGAAGTGAAGTGAAGTCGTGACCAAAAAAAAATCATTTCGCTCGAGGCCCGCGGGGTTTGTTTGTTTGAGTCGAGTCAGGCCACACACACTGTTCATCTTAGCCATCCATCCACTTTTTGCTTTCGTGGCTTCATACCTTTCATACCTTTTGTACCTTTGTACCTCCATACCCAGATAGGTAGTATCTCTCACCGATTGAGAATAAAGCAACGTTCCCAGGGGCCAGGCACCTTAAGCTCACGTCTCACAAAAGTATCGAGGAGCGGTGATACGGGCACCTCCGCCCTAGAAGAAAGACAACAACAACCATGAAGCTAGCCGATCAGGTTGTCCTTGTTACGGGTAAGTCAAAGAAAAAGACCTCGCCGGCAATTCAAACTGCTTGCAAGGACCGAAGATCTCGCTAGCCCTGACGACGACAAAATGAAACAAGTGATGCCTCTCCTCTCTTTTTTTATGCTCGCCAGACAGAGGCTATATATACATTTACTCAGCGACTAAAAGAAAGGGGTTGTTGTAGGCTCGTCTCGTGGGGTGGGTCTAGCGATTGCCAAAGCATTCCGCGACGAAGGCGCAAAGGTCGTGGTCAACTATTTCCACCCGGCCGTGAACCGCATCGCGGCGCTCACGAAGGAGTTCGGATCTACAGAGGACCGTGTCCTGTTCTTCCGGGCAGATGTCACCAACGCCGACGAGGTCCAGGCACTGTTCGCAGCTGCGGAGCGACACTTTGGGAAGCCGATAGCCACGGTGGTCAACAACGCCATGGTCGGCGACTTTGCCTTCAACGGCGACGCGAGGCCCAAGGTCGCGGATCTGACGTGGTCCAACTTCGACGCGCAGCTGCAAGGGTTCCTCCGGGGGAGCTTGAACACGACGCAAGCGGCTCTCGCTGGGTTCGAGAAGCTCGGCTCCGGCTGCATCGTCAACGTCGGGTCCAACCTGTTCCAGAACCCCGTGGTGCCGTACCACGACTACACGGCGGCGAAAGGGGCGTTGCTGGCGTTCACTAGGACGTGCGCCGCCGACCTCGGCCCAAGAGGCGTCACCGTCAACATGGTATCGGGCGGGCTCTTGCAGGTCACGGACGCCAGCGCGAGCACCCCCAGGGAGGTGTTTGATCACATCAAGGCCGTCACGCCGCTGAGAAAGGTCACCACGCCCGAGGATCTCGCCGGGGCGGTCTTGTTCTTCGCCAGCCCCTGGGCTGGTGCGGTGACGGGTCAACAGATGGTGGTCGATGGAGGTTTGGTCATGAATTGATTTTAGAGCGAGACAAAGACAAGACAAGAGACAAAAGAAGAAGGGTTTTTCGCAGAGGAAATTTCACGAAAAAGAAGGGAGGGAGGGTTCTCATAATTTGGCGTGTGTCTGTGACTTGGGTGGTAGTGGCGGCGTCTGGATCTCGACAATGGCTTTTCCCCAGACCTTTCGAGCCGCGAGGTCGTCCAGAGCCCCCCGCACGCTTTCTAGGCCCGAGTATGTCCCGTAGATGACGGGTTTGATCTGGCCGCGCTGAAGCATCTCATTCAGTCCTCTCCACACCTCTTGGTTCTCTGCTGGGTTTCTTCGTCCGGTTTCGCCGAATCTCTGCAGTGGCACACACAGTCAAGTCAGTCACTTACTCCTTCCAAGTTTTACGATTTGCAGCATCGCAGTTGTTTTCCAGGTGGAGAAAAGATAGGGATAAGGATAAGGGATAGGGACGGGAAAAGCAGGACTCACATATCCCAATAGCCTGACACCCTTGAGCAAGACGCGATTCATGGCCAACGTCTCCATCTTCCCGCCCAGACCCGCGAATCCGGCCACGACGATGTTCCCGCCAAACTTGAGACATCGGATGCTCTTCCCGACCAGGCCGACGGTGTCGTAGACGGAATCGACACCCACGTTGCCTGTGAGCTTGAGCACCTCCTTTTCCCACCCGTCCTGGTCGTATCTGACGACACCCAGCACGCCGAGGCCGCGCACGACGGCGGCTTTCTCCTCGCTGCCCACGGTGCCGATGACCTTCGCGCCGAGCGCGTGCGCAATCTGCACGGCCGTCACGCCCAACCCGCCCGCCGCGGCGTGGACCAGCACGATCTGCCCGGACTGGACCTGCGCGGTCCGCACCAGCGCGCCATAGCTGACGGGCACGGTGGCGGCGCCCACGCCCGCGGCATCGCGCAGCGTCCACCCCTTGGGCAAGTGCTGCAGCGCCGACGGCGGCACGGCAATCTGCTCGGCGAACCCACCGACAGAAGCGCCCCAGACCAGGTCGCCGGCCTTGAACCCGCACGCCGGCGGCGCCGATGCCACGACGCCCGCGAACTCGAGTCCCAGCACGAACGGCGGCTTGACCAGGCCGATGTGGTTGTTCTGGTGCGCGCCCCGGCAGTACAGCAGGTCGACGTGGTTCAGGGCGCTGTGCGTGATGGTCACCAGGACTTGGTCTGGTTTGGGCGTCGGCGCCGGCACTTCCAGAGCGCGCAGCTCCGAGTACGTCTTGACGTACTGGTTGATCTGGATGGCTTTCATGGTTTGTGGGCGCGGGAGAGTGAGCAAAAAATCGACCCTTTTTTCTTTCTTGTGGTTCGTTCTGGTCTCTCTATACCTCTGTTTTTTTTTCTCTCTTTGAGTCGTTGATATTTGGGAACTCGAGTCTTTCTTTACTCGATAATCTCGCTAACTGGAAAACAAAGCAAATGGTCTTGGAGAAAAGAAGACGGAAGGTACGAATGGAGAGTCTCTCTCACGTTCCACGCCTGCATGGGAACAAGGGCACCGCAAAGCGTATAGTCAAGTAGTAAATAATAGTCAATGGATAGTACCTTGTAGGGGGTCCAGTACATGAGTTTCCGAAGCCGTGGGCCATGGTGTTTACCGAGGTCCGACCAACAAGGCTGGGGCCGCATCTTTCCTCCCTCCTCAAGAGACTCAGCCTCGTCACCATCTCACATCATCACATCATAGCATATTATATCCTTCCTTTCCTCTTCTTCAAGAACTTCACGCAGCACCCGCCCGGTTGTACCGCACCTCCAAACAAGACCCCACCCACAAAAACAAACCACTTAGTAGCATATCAATCACAGTCCCAGAAATATCCAGCACATTCGACCGGTTGAAGTGAACCAATTTGAGCAATAAGGCTTGTCCATTGTCTTACTCGTGCTCGCTTGTTAGTTGTTATTACTTATACCCACTTTTCCAATCGTTGTTCGTTCATCTCCCTCACTCGCAGCCAGAAGTGACTATCCAAGCATCATGGAAACGTAGGAGCTCTACTCTTCTCACAAAAGTATCTCCCTAACTCGGATGACATGATGACTTCGCTAGGATCATAGTGGTTCTTCCACCCCACAAAATGCGCAGGAGCTCTGACAAACATTGCAAACATCATGGTGGTGTATATCACACAACAAGCAAGCAGCACAGCAAAGTAAGCTAGAGGTGGGAGCGTGCTATCACTCACAGATACCAAGAGAATGCGAATACAAAAAAAAAAATTCCTCAGCGGGGTTTTCTCACAAGTTGAGTTTTTTGCTTCGGTACACTATTGTCAGGTAGTTCCCTGGGGGAGAGTGAGAAACGAAAGAGAGAGAAGTGGCTGGCTGGCTAAGGGGGTTCGATTCTCAGGGAGGCAGTAAGAGTACTAAGAATAAAAACAATTTCATCACTATTGTTAGTTATAGGTGTGTGTGTGTGTGTGTGTGTGTGTGTGTATCCACGAGATCGATAACAAGGGTGGCCGCCTCAGACCAAAGGGCTAAAGAAGTCTGAATCGAGTCTGGCTGCAAATGAAATGGCTGAGTTTCGACATTGATGTAGAACCCATACCCGTAGACATTTCACTCGATCAACAGTTCTGTTCTCTGGGAATATTGAAGTATGACAAGAAACAGAGTCTTTCTCTTGCATTAGATTTCTTGCGCGGCACTCTCGTCTCGGTTGGCAGGACAAGGAAGCGCATCAAGAAAGGACCAAAAACTTCGTCGCGACAGCCCGAAACAAAAGATTGAGGCACGTGAAGGACACCAGAGTTCCGCGAAGGAATCTTTGCTCTTTCCGTCAAAACGGTACCAGGAGCTTGGAGAAGGAGAAGCATTCGTGGTGGAAATTAAGCGCGTCGAGTCCTTTGCGATTTCATTCCATTTTCCCGCCAATGTCTATGCTTGTAACTGTTGTATGTACAATCGCCCCCATCCGCAGCAGCTCATCGTCGTCCATCCCGCAGTCGGATTTTCTTACACCGAGCACCCAGCATTTCAGACTCCTAGATCGTGCTTTAATGAGAGGCGGGCGCATCGGGCTTTGCGTTGGGATTTCGAGGATCGTTTTTGTACTCGTCCGCTATTCCATGTCTCCCATTAGCACACTCAGTTGACACCCCGTATCCTTGATCGGACGGAACCCGGCGATATCGCCTCGCCGGAAAGGAATCGGATCTTACAGTTCATCATGGCATTTGCACCGGCGTTGATGGCGTACAGGACAACAAGTCCAGCAGCGTAGAAAGGGATCATCGGCTCGGCTGCGAGTGCAGATGTTAGTGTCTAGCCTGGAGAAGAGGCGGCCGTAGCAAAACGTACCGATTTTGCCGGGGAACTTCTTGGGGATGAAACCAGGCATTTTGACGGAGAGGCGTTTGTGAGAAACTGGCGAGCTTGGGAAGAGGAAGTTCTTTGTCGTCAATGAGCTTTCCGCAGATTGGGAGGTTCTCAAGCTTCAACTGGACTAAGCCTTATTCGTAAATATCTTGGCACATTTGCTAGGTTTGCTTTTTTTTGTCTAGACACGAGGCTCTCAACGCGCCCGTGTCATCGCGGGGTTTGTTTGTCGAGGGCAAAATGAGCATGCCCGAGCTGAACGTAACCTAGCCATATTACTTCCATATTACTTCCGCCAAGATGGCCACCCTTGGTCCGGCTGTCTCCTCGCTACGTTCCTCCATCTCTCTTCTCGAGTCGAGCATTTCAATCCTGGACGAAGGCGTCTCAGACTTCCCTCGCCTCTGCAAGGTCCTACAGACGCAACAACACTTTGAACTCCTTCCCGAACCCACACTTCGCGAAGCTCAGCAGTCTTTGGTCGACGAGATCGTGCCGGCTATCAACCAACTCTTGTCCACGGCCGAGAACCACATCAACCAATTGGGAAGGAGAGAAGAGAGCCTCAAAGCCAGATCGGAATTGCTCGAAGGGAGACTGAACAGCAGTAGGCGGAGGACCTCGAGTTTCGGTGGTGGCAACGGCACTCGTTCTTTCCGTAATACGCAATCGGGATACCATGCGCAGCCCTTGTCCGATGCCAAGATGTTGGAGATGAAGCGCTTGCAGCAGAAGAAAGAGAGGCTGCAATATGCCATTGAGCGACTGGAACTGCAGAGTAAACAAAGAGAGAGAGAATTGAGAAAGAGCATGGCTATCGTGAAGGATTCACCATAAGACTTTGTCCCACTGTACAGACGACGCTCAATCATTCAATTCAATCGGGGTTTCCAACAGTGAGGCCTAACACCGCGGACTGCAGCAAAAGGCCCGCCTCCAGAATCCCGCCCAATTCTACTCAACACCAAGACATTCAAAATCCGATGTAACCAGACCTGACAGACCGTGATCGCCCGTCGCGGCCACAACGAGTGGATGTGTGGTGACCCCGAAGACTTCTCGCTTGAAACGTTCGGAACGTTATCGAGTGCCCGTACGAAAAATGTGCAGTCGCGAGAAGATATATTGGAGAGAAAATGTTGTCTTATTGCAGGAATATTTTATTGCTATAACATGCGGAACCGTCATGGACAAATCTCTGTTCTGTGCGACTCTCATACCCTATGAGATCGGCATCCGAAATACCGCGCACTAGACAGAGGACCACAGATTTAAGGAAAATACCCTAGGTTTTTGGGGGAAATTTTTGCTCGCACGAGAAAGTCAGCAGGCTGGTAGAAAAGTAGCAATGCGGAAGGGGTATCTTATCGCACAGGCAAAGAAATAGCGGGTAACCTGATGTCGGAGGGGTGACATCACGGAAATCTGGCTGAGAACCAACGATGCGCATCAGCGTCATCTCTGGCTCAAACCCAGAAAATCCGTGGGCTAATCCGGAGTTCGAGCAGGCCGGCTAGGTATGAAGCAATCGGCGCCCTGTCTCCTTCTGAATCCAAAACATGTAAGAGAATATTGATCACTGGGCCAGAGAATTTGTCCTAAGCCGAGGGAGACTTCGGCACATGTTGTTGCGCTTCCTCCTAGACGGCCGTGGACACTCTCTTTCTTTCTTGGGTGGCAGTGTTGAACTCGTAGATTTGGCTGACGTCGATGTTGTGCATCTCTGGAAGAAACTTGCACGCAGGAATGTTGCAGGCTCCGTTTCGCGGACACATATGACCAAGCGGGCATGAAGGATCCTGACAAAACGCATTTCGACAGGCCGAAGTTCGAGCTTTGTGCCGAAATGTATCGAGCTGCACTTGGTTGAGGATCTGCGAATGGTCCCATTCGCAGTTGGTGCCGTAATGACAGTGACCTTTGAGGTAGAAGTTGTTGCAGAGACGTGAATTGTTGTCGTAGAGGTACTGGAGATATTGTTTGTCGATTTTGAGGGGTATATCGAGTCGCTGCCCATATTGATTCTGGTAGATGATTGGCGATGGAACGAGTGATGGTGCCGCTGCGGTTATTTGCGCATTTAGAGCGGGCTGAGGTTTGGGAGGCGTGAGAACCGCTGCCGTGGGACGTGGTGATGGCCGGTCTCGCACGCCTGACAGAGGATCGGGAGCAGGTCTCTTGACGCCCGCAGTGACAGACATTGTACCATTTGGTGTTATCTGAATCTTGGTTGATCGAAAAATGGTCTTGAAGGACGTTTGCTGGAACCCTTGGGCCACTTTCTTAAGGTCGTAAGGGAATGGCGGGCCTTCAAGTAGGGTGATGCGAGCATTGAGCGTGTTTGGAAGTGCATACGGCCCGAGAAAGCCAGCGTAGCTGCTATCTGCTGAGCCACCAAAGACAATGTGCTGACAATGAAAGTTGCGATAGAAGAGCTCGAGGTTTGCTTGGGGGAAGTCAAATCAATCTACTATCACATTAGCCACGGGTCTGACGTACCTTTCACTTTGGAGTCAGCGGCCTCTTTGTGGCTCCCAGCATCGATATAGTCCGAAAGGGGGTGGCTTCTGTTGAATCCAACCATGAACTGGTCGAAGACTGTCTCTTCAGTAATGATTTTAGCTGCTTTGTAAGTCCGGCTTAGACCACGAGCGTTGGCGTAGACCCGAATCATGACCCGATCGTCGGCACGATATCTGCTATTTGTCTTGTAGTATTCCAGGATTGCAGCTCGAAGGTGTTTGCCCGCTTCTTCACCGCCTTCCATGCCTCTGGACACAAAGTCATCAAGAAACTGGTCCAGTTAGTTACAACAGCTGATGCCATCGCAATCACGAGCATCTCTTTCACTCAGCCTTACCGGCATACTGTCGCCATCAACGAGAACGAGCACAAATCTGTCGCACTCCTCCTGTGGGTAGACAAAGGTCAGATCTGCTCGAAAGACAGTGATACCGGCGGCTCTTCCCCACCATGGATGTCTTTATAAGTGATTTCTCTGATTCAGCTTGAACCATCTTTTGATAATATGTGCGAGCAGTATCTCTGGCCATGTCGAGCTCATTTTTGGCGGCATCACGTTGCTGTGTCAGTTGTTCGATATCTGCCAACATCTGCTGCTCTCGAGTCAGTGGCGGCTAAAATCCATTTTCTTGGTGACATACTTCTAGCAGGGCATTTTTGACAGCATCGCCACGTAGGACTTCTTCCACGCGCGCCCTCAATGACGCCATGATGAGAAGTTTAGCGGAACGGGAGGTAGAACCGAGAAAAAAAAGAGAGGTTCTCAGTGATTCTTGAGGAAGAATGTTGCCTCGTGGTGACTGACAGCTGCCTCATAATGGAACCAAATGTGCCAAGAAATGCGAAAGTCTTGGCAAGTTTTCCGGTTTCATCGTCCCTGAAGACATGGGAAAAGGAGAGCCTTGCGTGTCTTGTTCCATACCATACTACTTCATACCATGAAAATTCCCCAAATGGTGTAGATGCTCCCCCCTCGAAGCGATATAAACAGTCATTGGTCTCATCGGTCTTGAGCCAGCCAAGTGCCTCACATTTGAACGCAAACCTGTCAGGCACAAATGAACATTCAAGGGCAATCTGGAAGTCTGGCAAAACGTCAAAACAGTTCGAGCACTGCCAAAGGCCTCGACTAGATGCAGACTGCATTCTTCTTCTAGCAACTATATCTTCTCTAGCCCACACCATTCCGCGATGAATAGTGCCATTGCAGTGGTCACTCTCTTTACACTCTCGATGCTGACCCATTCATCAAAGCCATGGATATCCCCACTGATGGGGCCATACACTAACGCAGGGATTTTGTCATACAGGCTGTGGACACGCGCGTCAAGGTAGGCGGTAGAGGTCTGTTCTGTCAATTCCTGTCCCGTTGCTTGTTTGTGGGCCTGGCGCAGCACATTCTCTGCCTCGCTCCCTGGCTCAAGGACATATCCTTCCGAGTAGAATCCGTTCCATATCACTTTCGGGGGGTTTTCACTGAGATAGGGATCATTCCGTGAGAACTCTGCCACCTTCTTCTCAATCTCTTCAGCAGCAGACTTGGCTGTGACACCAGGCACGATTGCTATTCGACAATCTATACGGCACCAGGCTGGGACAGAGCTTGCCCAGTCGCCGGCATTCACAATTGCCACGTTCAAGTCTGTTCATTGTTAGCTTCTTCTTCTGGCAATAGTGCGTTTGCCATGCCACGCAACGCTGCATGGGCAACTCACTTAAGGGGTGTTGTTCATTTTCAAAATATCGTGTGCTGACATGGCGGTTGTTCCATTCAGCCTCAAGTTCTCTCAGGGCGCCTACGACTTTCCAACACGCGTCGACAGCGTTGACTCCGGTCCCCATAGCTCTGACATGTACTGGCCTGCCGCGGACTTCGATATGAAACCACAGGACACCCACGTTTGCTCGAACAAGCTGTTCCTGCATTGGCTCGGGGATAAGGACAGCGTCTGCCTTGTAACCCTTCAAGTGTGTCATCAGCGTACCATTGCCAGTTGACTCTTCCTCGACAACAGACTGCAGAATGACCTCTGACGCTGGCTGGAAGCCAATACGCTTCAATGCATCCAGAGCCCACAGATTCGCGGCGTGACCACTCCTCATGTCACCCGACCCTCTGCCGTAGAGCTTATCTCCTTCGATACGGGCACTGTACGGATCGTCTTTCCACATATCAACAGGACCTAGAGGCACGACGTCAATGTGCCCGTTCAAAATGAGACTCTTTCCCTCGGCGTGTTGCTCTTTTGGCTTGTGCGTGCCGACGACCACTGGGGCACGCGAATGCGTCGCACTGAACCTGCCGGCGCCGACATGCTTTGAGAGCGCTTGCTCATCCATGTCAATTTTGACCGGGTCATAGCCCCGATTCGCGAACTGCTCAAAGACAAAGCTCTGGACCTCGGTCTCCTCTCCACGCTGTCCTCCGAAGCGAATCAGTTTCTGCGTGTAAGCTAGTTGTTCATCGAAGCCGTCGGAGACAGACTTCTTGATGGAGGCAACCAGGTCGTCTGAGAGTGCTGGCATGGCTGATGCAGTCGGTCTTGAGTCAATTGGTTTTCCTTGTTTCTTAGGGATAGGAATGCTAATCAGTTTGCACAACAAAAACCAGGAGAAGGTCTGCCCCTCGATACTGATCACAAGAAGATTTGCCCTATGGCTATTCAATCCTTGCCGTGGAGGCGTCTCCGCACGGACATCTCCATTTGCGGCTTTATTGATGATAACAATACAAACCACACCGGCTGTCTTTGCCTTTTTGGTATGTAGCTCGGGCGATATTCTCGGTTGGGGATAGTTTGCGAATCTGGGACGGCGTCCGAGATATACATCGTTTCATTGTTGGTGCATCAGTATTATGGACTTCTTCACCCTCGAGTATCAAATCCATTAGCGGTGGGCCAGCAACCTTTATATTGTCTTCCGGTGATGTCCGGTTATTGAACCATCTGTGGTCAATCCTCCAGCAGTGCAATTCTATTCAAGCTTGCGTCGGCCTCAGGCTACGGGGCGAGGAACACATCGATCTACGGCGACATGATTGGGCGCTAGAAAGAAAATATGAGGAACGACCTCTTCCAGATACCTGCTACTATGGATCATGCCGGTTGCCACATCTCAAAGTTCAGCATACACAATTTCTACTGCATTTGTTTATATCTCCCCTGCACAACACTGTGAAGGCCCATGTCCTTATCACCTGCTGGTATAATCTGGATGTGCTGTACTCTACCAGCCACGATATGAAGTACATCATGCCGCCATTCTCCTTATCTGGACAGGTATAGCGACAGGAGAGATCGATGATCACACCGAGGGCAGCGAGAAATGGCGCGCTCTGCAGGGTACACGTCCAGCGAGTCAGACAACTTCCTCACATATTGCAGAGTGCGGAAGTCTTCCTGTGACCCTCGATACCACCCAAGACGACTCGAATGCACGATCGACCTCGTTTAGAGATCCGGAAATGCTACACACGATGTCTACCGCGAGAGAAGGGTGGTTTCGATCCTTCTTCCCAACCAATGCCACACTCTTTATATCATGGGCTGCCGTCGCACAAGTTGCTAGGTGCTCGGTGGTCCTGATAAACTTTGACAAGATCTCGGTGCAAAGGGGCCTGAAGTTCTTTTCGAGATCGGTGGTAACCTTAATATCTACCAGGGGACTGCGCTCGTCGAAAGTTATGAGAGCATACTGCTCATAGGCCCGTCGGGCTCACTTCCCCGGACCAGAACCGCTGAAATAATGCTACGTTGGCCACCTCTTCAAAGAGCCTGCCCTTGCTGAGACGCCGATCAGAGACATGTTCACGAGCACTATTCCACGGCGACCTCTGAATTTTCACTCTGCTTGTTTTGACCGTGCACGATCCTTGTGACTGTTATCGTCGAACCCATTGGAAAACTAGCCCGGTAACATTCTCCAGATGCAGCCAGTATCGGATCATCCGAGCTACCTCCTCTTCCGGGTTACCATTTTGTCCAAGGTTCGCTGCTGGGTGCCTTTGTCGGGGTCGCTTCGCTTTATGGCTTTCCTTCTCCCACGGCGACGACCATGACTCTCGTCACTGACACCGGCGTCGTCTCTTCCATCAACGTCCTGATGCTCGTCATCCTCCGCACCATCATGACCATCGTCGTCTTCGTCGTCTCTCGCCCGCTTTTCGGCCACTGGGACATCACCGTTCGCCTCCTCCTTTGCCGGAGCCCCTGCGTCGTTGAAATCGAACAACTCTTTCCATTTCCCGCTGATAACCCTCTCATCATCGCCAAACAGTCCTACATCATAAGCCTCCTTCATGCGATCAAGACAGAACCGTCTCCTCTCCTGGAAGTCGAACATCGGCTTGGGATACACCTTGCACTCCCCTCCGTCTTTTGGCGGTTTCCCATCTCCACCGTCACCCTTGATCAGACACCCCCACGCTTTCTGGTCCGCGATCGGCGCCCTGTGCGGCTCGTAGATGTACTTCTTGTCGAAGCGGGCCAGCTCGGGGACGTACCTCCTCACAAAGTGGCCGTCGGGGTCCCACTTCTTGGGAAAACTGACGGGGGAGTAGCAGCGGTAGAACTGGCTGAAGAAGGCCGTGCAGGACAGCCACATCCAGTTGCCGGCGTTGCACGCGACCTCGTGGTCGACGAGCCACTCCTCAAAGACCTCGGCGCCGCGCTCCCACGAGACGTAGCAGCCGCCGCGAGTGAGAAAACAGGCCACGGCGTGGCGGCCGAGGTGGTGGATCCAGCCCTCCTGCTTCAACTGGCGCATCAGGGCGTCGATCCAGGGGAACCCCGTGCGCCCGTCCTTCCACCGCTGGAAGTACTCTTCGGCCTGCACGTCGTCGACCACGTACGTGCCGTCGCTGACCGGCCTACCGTTCCCGTCGGTCGAGTACCTCGACTGCAGGTGCCACGGGATGAACCTCGCGACGGGATTGCCGACCGTCTGGCCAAAGGCGATCCCGACCTGTGCGTGCGCGGCGAAATACATGTCGCGGAAGAGCAGCTGACCTGGGATATTGACGGGCTGGTCGCTGACGCGTTTCTTTTCCTTGCGCCTCTTCTCCAGCACGGCCTGCACGTCCCACCAGAACCGGCGGCAGGAGACTGTCCCGAAATGCATGTGCGGACTCAGCAACGTCGTGGCCGCGGGCTCGAACGCCGTCGGGGCGGTCGCCGGCTTCTCAAACGTCGCGATGTACTCTTCATCTGCGATGTGGCGTTCGAGGAGCGCTAGTCCGGCGGTCTCGCCTCCTTTATGGGGCGTCGTCACTGACGACGGGTCGATTCCCATCTCCTCCAGAGTCGGGACCGAGAAGTCGCGGTCCGGCCCCATGACCCCAGAAGAGTACTGCGTGTCTTTGTCGAGGCCCAGCGTTCTCTGAACGGCGTTGTAGTCCATGCCGTCGACACCAGGCCAGCTGGGTGGTGCTTTTCGGGGTCCTTCTCCGTCACCAGACAATTCCTGTTCGAGATCCGACAGATCCATCTCCTCCTCGTCGAGAGGATCCGGCAAGCTGGTCGGCTTGTCCAACGGCTTCGCGGGCATTCCGTCGCCGATTTTCTCCACGGCCTTGACCAACTGGGCCATACTCATGGTGGGCTTCCCGGCGTTCATCCTGACGACCTCCTCGGAGTCGAACAGCGTGCGCCCACTCGGGCTGACGACCCGCACGCCCATGTCCTCGGCGACCTTGACGACGTCGCGATCT